TTTTAAAAAATGCAAGTAAGTCAGGCGATACTCGGCGAAAGTGTTTGCGATAAATGTAATTGCCAAAGTGATATCCAAATTTTAGGAATGCAATTCATTTTACTGCAAAGCTTGTTTAAGCTTATGATGATACAGCCATTATTCGAGGAAAGGACATCAGTGGCAGTAAGAGAACAAGGCAAAACTATTTGATGGACTGTTTATTAAAATATCTTTGACTTGTCTCCTTAGATAGACATACGAATTTGCAAATGCAATTTTGATGTGTAAGGCGGCTATTAAACCTTATTTTTTCAACATACAGGATAAAAAAAGACGTAAAAACTTCCAGCTTTCTTTTCGAAAAAGGAAGCAGTATGAAGCACTCTGCAGAAGGTAGTTTACTAAGCCTGTCCTCTTGATTAATAATTTACGGCTGCAAATTGGGTGTGGAAGGACAACAATGGCATGATCAAGTTAGAGGTTATTATTTGGCCATCGTCTATTTTCATCCACTTGCAAAACGATCGAGAAATGCATTCACTGACTCCGTGTTTTGCTTTCCTTTGGGCTTTTCAGGTGGAATAATACAAAAAATTGGCTGAATGAGGACGCTGAATACTGACTTTCCTCGCATGGGATATTCATTCAATCTGATCATTCAAGTGCGCGACCGAATGATATCTCGCAGCGACAATGACAATGAAACAAACAAAAAAATTATGCGAACGGAACTCTTTTATAAATGTGGAATGATCATTTCTTTTTTCAAAGAACTGTGTATGGATAAAGTAAATCACATCTCTCTAAAAGGAAAATTTCATTAAAATTTTGGAAGAAATTCATGGGATGTGAGTAGCAATGCATTGCATTGGCGGTTGATTAATGGCGCAGGACAGTTTATCAAAGGATTTCGATTTCATTTGGCTTGCAAAGAGACCATTTCCACTGTTCCTACCTATTCAGCTGATTACTGATGGGATAAGGAACTGGGCTATGAATGACCAACCTTTTGTAGAGGAGGTCGGAAGAAGGGGTAAGAAAG